AGATCGAGCTACACCGTTGCTGACTTGTTTTGAAACTTGCCTTAGGCAGGCTTGATGTCAGGAAAGCAATCGCGTTAATACGACTTCTGAAGAGTTTTACAACAGCGACATAACAACCAGTCGTCGCACAATGCGAATAGCGTAACATGTGGGTCGTACAATGCTCCAACCCATTACAAAAGCTTGTTTTTGTTCAGCTATTAACTGTGGCGCACACCCACTTCAGCCATAATTCCTAATCGTCGTCGGCCACTGCGTGGACAATTGGTACAAAATTCCTAGCAAAGGTTTAGCGTATACCACGCTTCTCAGAAGAACGACGAAAAATAGCATAGCGAATGCCGGCCTATTATCCAAAAGCTTATTATTAATGCCCTAGTGGGTACCAAACAAGTGTGCTTGCAGTATTTATCCAATGAGTGTTTTGAAAAGGTTCTGGAAGGCCGCTCTTCTAGCTTTCGCTGTGACTGTGCTGCGTCTATACCACGCAGGCCTGGCGTTTCTTTTCTTTAACGGCGTCACTCGTGGCCCGGTCCGAGTCTCGGAGACTTTACTTTTCTGTTCCCTGGGCAAAAGTTGTAACGGTATATTTTACGTTACATTCAATCACCAACTAGCATGCATTTAGAAGGGCGCGAGAGAGCACAGACGAAAAGACTTTCGATCACACCATCACAATCAACAGTCTTCAGGTTTCTCGAGCCGTTCTGAATCCATGAATCTGTATACCACTCCCCCGTCTGTCAGGGCTATACTCACCGACTAGCACCGAAACGTGTTTTGTTACCAATGGCACTGTGTCGCTATATCGGTCTAAATGTATCGTCGCACAGAGCAGAAGGCTGGATGGGGTTGTTCGTTTCAAGAATATTCTAAGCGTAAACACACATCTTCAGCGGAAACTTGAACTTGGATGAGCCGCCGCTCTAACCAATTGGTTAAGGTGGTCGACTAGTCCAAGTTCGCAAGAACGAATACCGGTCGTGGTGGTCGCCTTAAACTGGGGCTGGATGCTGGAGGCCCGGGTACCTATATCTACGCGCTCGTTGTCAGAGGTTCGAAATTTCGGGAGTTCTCCACCACAACGTACGTCTTAATTATAATGTTGTTTTCATTTCTCTAAATAGTGATTATCCAGGTCTAAGGTGTAAATTTAAGGCTTACTTTGTTGTTAATGTGACTCGATAGTGCCGAGTGTTGCTGTCGGAATATTTCGTGCTTTATGCGCGAGGGAACTCCAATAGAGTGGTAAGCGGTGAATTTGGAGTGGGGCTTTGCCTCAAGACTGAACTGCCATGCAGAAAACGCGTGCCTCCTGCCACGTCGCTGTAGATGCAGTGATGCACAACACTTAAACCAAATGGAAACTCGCCTTGTACCTCACGTGACCGTTTATCTTCTTTGCGACAAAGATAAACGTGTACTCGTGTAAAAAAAAATGCCTGTCCACGCTTGCGAGATGGTCCAAACACGTCATGTATTGGCTGAGTAGCATCTCGAACGGGCAATACGACTACAATGTTGAACAGTTCACGCGAGCGTACCTCCTCTGCTGCTCGTCACATGCAAAATGTTGAGGCTACGTTGATGGTGGAAAATTTTTGAGTAAAAGGATACATTGCAAGCATTCTAGGATAGATAGAATTACAAGACATAGCTCAATAACAGTTCGGAAAGGTCATGATTTTTAATTTTGTCACAATGTCTTCTCATGATATGGCGGCTTCTTCTTTGTGTCTGTAAATGTGAATGCAGCCGAGACGTGCAGTGAAGTTCAATCCGGATCTCGTGAGCTATTAATTCGTGACGTTCTTTGTCTGGGCATAGGTATCTATTGACTTCAGCATTGTTCGACGAGAAAATTTGACTGCTTCTTATGCTCGCCGAATGCGGAGCGGCTTTTTCTTTCTTTTCCTTCTAATATTACAGCTATACGGCACTAGTAAATTCATCAAATTTTTTGCAGAGTTCACTCCACGGCAGGCACCTGGGAACTTTATTCCTTCTGACGTAGATATCGGAGCGAAACGTTCATTCCAAAAAGAAAAAAGAAGCAAGAAAGAGAATGAGTATTTTCCGATTATACTGTATATTACTCCAAAAGGATGTGGATTACAGAGGGACGGTGAGTCAGGTTATTTGCCTCTTGGTTGTCGTCGTTGTTTTTGTTCTTGTATTGTTTCATGCATGGTTGGCGCCTACTCGGAGTATCGACCAAAAATTGAATGAGTCGTGAGAGTCAGTCAAGCAAGAATGTTCCTGGAATTAAAATTGACAGCAATTTAATATTACTCCTGGCTTAATATGCCAAGTTTAACAAGGACATTATCCTGATATCTTTACAAATAGCAACGCCATCGCGGACGTTCGCATTGCAAAGTGGACGCTGTTTTGTGTGCCGAATTGAATAAATTACAAAAATCACAGCATATCCGCGGAGGGTATGGTGATGAGTGGAGCGAAGCGTCCGTCCGTTCATTGGTCTGTATGCCTGACCGTGCATGTGACCATGCGTCCGATCGCATTCAAGAATACAGACGGCGCGCGAGTAACACCGATGGGACGCGAGCCAAGGAAGCCGAGCGCAAGCGTCTTCAACGCGCCCGCCACTCTGCTCCGTCAATGCCCCACCAACAACCCGCCACGTACGGCGACTATCCATGAGACTGAGAGAGGCACTCGTTCTCCGCGTACCCAGGCACAGCCCGCGCAGCAGCCAATCGGAGAGTAGCGGTACGGCGCCATCTAGAATATCCTCACTCAACTGCAGTTTGTATGTACTACTATGAGACAGTGCCGTCTATTATGCTGTCCGGGAGGTACAGCCTTCTTTTCTTTCTCGTCTCTTCTCTCGGTTACGCGTGACGCATGACAAGGTTAGACTAAGAAGAACATTGTCCCTAAAAATAGATATTGCTTTATTTCTAAATAGTAACGAGAATCAACAGACAATGATGCCAAGGAAAATACAGGGGATGTTATTAGAAGTAATTGTAATGTAAATGTTGGGAATAAGAAGGCGTATCTCGAGGTGTACCGAGCTTATTCTTCGAAACCAGTTTGTCGCGATTACACATGCCACGAATTCTATTAGCACAAGCGATGCTAGAGCCGAATAATGTAAAAATAAACATATTGGCCCAATAGGTGAACTATATTCAACGTGTAGCGTACAATTTGATGATATATTACCTTCTAATACAGAACAATGGCCGCGTGAGTATTTAAATGACTAGTTAAATGACTACCTAGCTCAGCCTGGAAATTAGGAATATAATTGCGACAAATGCATCTGTGTTGAATGAAAAGACGGGCGTTGGCATATTCTCATCTTCTTTTGAGTGGTCCTTTTCAGATTCGGCTTCCAGGATTATACCCGTGTTTTCTTTGCTGAATTATAGGCTAGTGTTCTAGCTCTACGCAAAATGCCCCTGAGTGAATCAGTAGCAGTGGTCATTGCAGATTCTCATCTCAGTATGTACTCCACTTTTTGCGCAACAAATTTAGAACTGATGAGTACGTTTCGTCATCTAATGCCGAAACCCTTACACAAACTGCGTTTGCTATGGGTACCAGGACACCGTGAATAATATTTGAACGAAATGGTGAATTCTTTAGCCGCAGTGTTCCGGAGTGGACCCCTCCTTACAGTTTTACGACATGCGGCTTACGCGACAGCCTTACGGTTCAGAAATTCGTGTTTGCAACATGAAATAGAAAAATTATTATTGGTTAAATTTAGAGATTTCGCGCATCTGAGGTATTGCTGGAATAAACAGTGCTGTGCATCTCGCCGTTTAGAAGTGTCTTACTCCAGATTACGCTGTGAAATTCGGCTACTGAATTATCACCTTCAACAAAGCTGGACTCGAGGCGTCCCCGTTGTGCATAGTTCGCAACAAAATTGAAACAATCAAACATGCCTTTTAATTCTGCCATCGCTACTTTTATCAAAGGAACATATTTCTAGGAAACCCCATTTCAAAAGTTACGATTAGTAATAAAGTTTCCAGTAATTTGATCACCTTGTGGCACTTCATTAGGTTACTGTCACAGAGACCTCTGCTCTATTCTGCTCGAATACATTAAAGCAACAAAAGATTACCGTGTTAGTCAAAAGAGTCCATACAGACTCTGTAATTCGTCGTCATTTCTATCCGGAAGCTTAGATGGTCTGAACGCTTGCTCAGTAAGAAATTTCTTAGATTCTTTCTCTCGCTCTCTCTAATTACTTTCGAAGTTGTATATTTAAAGTAATTACTCAGCTTGGTTTTAGTTTCAAAGGCCTTTGCTTCAGACCTCCCGCCCCCCGGTTGGCCCATCCCTCTTTTTTGGGTGAGTGCCACCCACAAAGGGGGTTTCTGCAACGCTCGAAAATATTTATTCCAAGCAAAACATGATCATCTACGCTATTAGAAGCATTGAACTGTATACGTCGCTCGCGACATACGCGTCTGTCGTCTAGACAACACACCGCCGCCGCAGTGTTTCCCACGAGCTCTTTTAGTCGCGGCCGCTATTCGAAGCTCGCACACATAACAAATACACGCTACGCGATGCACTTCGCATCGCAGCGACCGTCATAGGAACCCCAGAGCTGCTACCGTACTCTTCATACAATGAAAGGTCTTTCTTTGTTTTTCCTTTTTATTTTGCTTTCTTTCGTTCTTTCTTTCTTTTCTTTCTTTCTTTCTTTCTTTCTTCTTTCTTTCTTTCTTTCTTTTTTTATTTCTTTCTTTTTTGCCCGTCTGCCTGCGTGCTTTCATGTTTGCTTGCTCCAGCGTACAGTTGAGACGTGAATCCCCTTCTGCCAGAGCGTCACTCGATGCTCCCACAGGCTGGCGTGCGTGATCGAAAGGCGAGCTCCCAGCAAAGCGCCGCTGCATTTCGCGCCAGTCTGCCCTCCCGACTGCAGAAGACCATAACCAGGGAGCATCTACCCTTAACGCCAACCCTTCCGGAGACGCGTCGCGTCGCCACCATTTCGTGTTCGACGCCGTCATGACGTGCGAAAACGACGGGAGCCTCAACCGGGTCTGGCTCCGGGGCTTCCTTCGGGGCGTCGACTGTCGACCGGTGCAGTTTCGGGACGCCCTCGGAACGACGCTGGTTTGCAGCCTGTGCGGACTGGTGGCCCGCCGGATGGCTTCGCTCCGCTGCTCGCACGTCTTCTGCGAGTTCTGCTTGGAGCAGTGCACCGGCGGCGTCTTCGGTGTGGAGAAGCGGTGTATTTTCGACCAACAGACGACGGACGTGTCCGATGTGGGCGCCGTACGATGGTACGAGACCCAGCCGCTGGACCTCGTAAAGGCAAAGGTAAACTGACATACGTACCATACGTGCGGCAACGCTGGCAACAACGATGTAGATAAAGAAAAAATAACATTTGATACGGGGAGGGAGGGGGGTGGGTTGAATCCCTTTTTCTTGTATGCACGCAAATGGTGGGCAAGCTTACATAGTTTAGTGATGCTTGTCGCTCGTTGAGCTCGCTGACGTCAAAGCGATACACGGGTCATTCCGCGCCAACTGTCTCAACGAAGGCGCCCGCCGAAAACCAATTTCTCTTAAACAGTTTCGGGAAATTACACACATATTGAACACGCTGGTTGTTAAGTACTTACCGCGAGATATTTTTAGCGGCAAAAAATTTTGCGCCTGTTACCACTTTTTAAACTTCACGAAATGGCATGAAAACAAAGCACGAAAAAAAATTTCCTATAAGTTGACCGTTTCGTGCAATACTTGAGTACTTCCATTTCTTTATTTTTAGAGCAACGTGCTCGTATTATATGACAATTCTTCATCATAGCTTCATATTTCTCACTCTTTTGAGTGTACGGCAACCTGAGTAACTTGTACTATTTTCGAGAATATTTCGACAATACGTGACCATCAATATAATAAATAAATTACCTTTATCAAACTCTCCGTAAAGTTTACTATTTAAAGATACTTTGGTTTGGCCGGTGTGTGGCGCATAGGCTCTAAAATAAAATCCGGAACTTAGAAAAAACGCCAGTTTGGTCTTGAGACGTCTGTAGCAACCCGATTTGGTGTGAGAAAAACCAGGATAAAAGTGGATGCGAGTAAGAATGATAGCAACTTTGTCCACAGAAAGCTTAATACAAGTCGATTTTCGTTTATTAAGAAAAACATTGGTGAACTTTAGTCCCGTCATCGCATTGCTTTCCTATGTCATAAAAATAGTACACTTACAACACATGCTTCAAAGTTCTCCTTGTTAGTACTCCATTTTGTATACCACATGTCGAGGTGATAATGCACAGAGGTAAAGATATACAATGCCAATTAAGAAGTTTTTCCAATGGGCCAAACGTACTTGGGAAGAGAGGAAACACAACTTAGCGGTTGTCTTAATTTTATTACCAACGGTTTCGACCGGTGGACCGGTCTTCGTCAGGGTGGTGGTAGTGGTTAGAAGATGAGAAAAGGCACCTAATTTCTGCAACCCGGTCGGGAGCACGGCGCAGTGCCATCGGCCATACCATGCACTGGTTCTCGTCAGGGTTTGCGAACAAGTGCGACGCTATGCGAACTTGGCGTATCGACATGGTGGTGTAAGAAGGAAACGGGAGAGAGCGGCGAATTCGTGGTGTTTTACAGTGGTGACATATGCTGTGCCGAACAGTTTCTTCTTCGTCTCGTTCGCTTTAGCGAACCAAAAATAGCCAAAGAAAAAAAGAAGAAAAGAAAGAGGGGGTAGGAAGAGAAAGGAAGAGGGGGGGTGGGGCGGCTCCCGCGACGCGTTTTTGAAGGTACCGGAGGGACATTGTGGGTGAGCTTAGATGGCAGGCAATTACCTGTAGCAAGACGAGGAACTCCGGCAGGAAGAGTGCCTGATTCGGCCCCTTCTGTGGTCAGTTAGAAAAATGGAAGGGGAACCACGTGTTTCGTTTTCACGGAAACTATACTGACACATTGGGAGATGATGTAGGCTTCATCCATAAGTCTTTAAGAGACCCGACGTTTCGGAACCGACTTGGTTCCTTCTTCAGGGGTGACTGCGTAGGCAACGTAGCAGCAGCGCGTTCAAAGCACTCGAGGGGTGGCTAATGACCCCTCTCTCTGTTTCTCTCTCTCTCGTTTTGCCGTGGAGTGCAGTCCGTGTGTGTACACTGGGGAAGGGCTCCGAGAGAGCGGTTGATGTTGTGGGCTACGTGCTACGTCCACAGCCCATGTCGATTTCTTCTTAATTTCAACTATGATATCCTTGACCCCGGTTTGCTCACTGACCCACTCTGCCCTCTTCTTGTCTCTTTAGGTTACACCTATTATTTTCCTTTCCATCGCTTGCTGCGTCGTCCTCAATTTAAGCTGAACCTTCTTTGCAAGACTCCAGGTTTCTGCTCCGTAGGTGAATACCGGCAAGATGCAGCTGTTACATACTTTCTTCTTGAGGGTTAGTGGTAGATTATCATTCATCATTTGAGAATACTTGCCAAATGCGATCCACCCCATGCTTATTTCTCTAGTTATTGCACTCTTATGGTATGGCTCCGTGATTGTAACCCCTCCAAAGTATATGCATATTCCTTTACAGCTTCCAGTATCTCTCCACCTATGGCAAATCACTGTCTCCCGCGGAGACACTTGCACATTACGTTCGATTTTTGCAGATTAATTTTCAGACCTGCTCTGTTGCTTTCCCTGTCCAGTTCAGTAATCATCAGCTGTAATTCGTCCCCTTAGTTACTCATCAAGGCGATGTCATCAGTGAATCACAGGTTACTTAGATACTCTCCATCAACTCTTATCCTTCACTCTTCCCAATCTAGGGCCCTGAAAACCTCCCGTGAACACGTGGTGAATAGCAATAAAGAAATTGTGTCTTCCTACCTTACACCCTTTTTTATTGTGATTCTGTTGCTTTCTTTATGGAAAGTTTTGGTTGCCGTGAATCCACTGTAGATTTCTTCCAGTATGAAAGCATACTGACATACAATTCGTTCACATTGTATATATTTACCTCTGTTTATTATTATCTCGACATGTGGTGTACAAAATAGAGTACCGACAAGAAGAACTTTGAAGCATATGTGTTGCAAGTGTTACAATACAAACCAACTGCATCTAATTAAGTTGGTTTGTATTGCCCCCGTAACAAAGCACTGCTATGGCGGGACTAATTTTCAAAAATGTTTTTTCTTTACTACAACAAAAAATTATTCTGATTAAAGTTTCTGCTCACAAATTTGCTATGATTCTCAACTGCATCCACTTTTATCCTGATTTTTCTTGGACCACGTTACGGTGCTACAGACGTCTCAACTCAGACCAAGGTGGCGTTTTTGTAAAGTTCAGTATTTTATTTTAGAGGCTATGTGTCACACCCGTCAAAAATATTTGTACATAGTAAATTTTACGGAGAGTTCGATAAAGTTAAATTGTGCATTTTATTGATGGTCGTGTTGTGTCCAAAAATTATTGAAAACACTACAATTTGCTGAGTTTTGTGTACGCTATAAACAGTGAACATTTTGAAGCTATGATGAGCAACTGTCTTACAATACGAGCACGTTGCTCTACAAATGCAAGAAAAGCAAGTGTTGAAATATTGCGCGAAATAGTAAATTTATAAGGAATTATTTTCGTACTTGGTTTACACCAATTCGTGATTGGTAAATGGTGCTCACCGGTGCAAGGAATTTTTCCCGCTAAAATTATTTTCAGAGACTTCTTAAGAACTAATGTCTACATGTGTGTAACTTTCTAAAACTATTCGAGAGAAATATATTTTTGGCGAGCGCCTTGTTTGGGACAGTTGGCAGGAATGACCCACATATTAGCACAAAAACAGAGCCATAGACTGAGGAAATAAATAGGAAGCGGAAAAATTGGACGATGAAGATCAACTGTTTATTCATGGCAACTGTTTATTCATAGATAAATCACTCTGTGTCCTTCTTCGTCTGGTTTCTCATTTTTCGCGCTGTTTCTTTTTCGCGATATCATACAAACATGTCCAAGCGACCACTTTAGCTTATTCATAGACATTTTATGGACATACTACAAAGGATATACCGTAACAAGAAGCCTTGACCTACGTATACTCACGATGTACTACTACGCATTCGGTATGAATGCGAGAAGCCGAACTCATCGGTAACATGAATATTGATTTCTTTTATTTGTGAATGTGTCGCTGTAGCTTGCTAACTGGTCTGTTAAATAAAATAGCGATTCAAAGAGCTGTTAACGAAGCCTCATGAACCCGAGATGTGGCATGTTTGGTTATGCAGAACATAAAGAAATGTGCGTTTTTATGTAGCGCCCAGTTGGGAACTGTGTCTTGTTGCGTTCACTGAAAGAACGAATTACTCCGGGGGCAAACGTCATATTTTTTTAAACAATAACATGCAGGTTCGATGCTGGAATGCAAGATACGGGTGTGATTTCACGGGTCCACTGCGTGGTCTGCTGGATCACTTCGAACAGGACTGCACCTATCACGTGGTCATTTGCCCTCGATGTCAGAGCATGCAAGTGCGCTCGAAACTGGCCGACCATTATCGCCGTGGATGCGTGGCACCTCCCGCCATCAACTCCTTGGGATGCCACCAACTTCCCGGCGCCAGTGTCTCCAGCAATAGACAAGACGCTGCGTCGCTTTCTCTAACGCAAGACACGATCGCAGGTATACCGTTGTCTGGACACAACAATCAGTGAATTTTTTTAAACTGATACTTGCCGTTGGCCATGAACCACTCCTAATTTGAGTGTCAGGGCTTGGTAGAATTTTCCTCTCGGAAATGATTATAGCATCATAGAGGGCTCACTGACTGTTCAATGATGAAATACGTCTTCATCAGAGTGGGCCCACTGATCATTGGTGAAATATGTCTTAGGGATTGTGTACTTTAAAACAATACAAGCCTACATTCACTGTAAAAAAAGTCACAGCTTGGCCACAAAGGTGAAGCAATGAATGCGATAGCAACAAATTTGAAGGTCACACGCAGGTTGGCAAGCAGATTGAAACGTACCCCGCGTTTCTCACCCACAAATGACGCACGAAACGTACTCACAGGTACAGATGCACGCGAATAAGCGTCTCAGTTGTTACTTCGCTATGTCTGAACAGGGCACCCTTTTCGCAAACGAAAACTGTGGTACGGTTGCAACGATCTTTGTGCGCCCGGTAACTACAACAGAATCGTTCAGGGGCAACTCCAAAGCCAGCGAAGACGTACGATCCTTCCCGCCACGAGATAAGGGCTGAGCGTCCACCCAACTCCTCTCCGCTGGGCAATCTACGCAGGGAAATGAGAGCGCGTGCTGCCGCGTCGTGACGACGTTCGTTCATGGCGTCATCTTGTTGGTAATGCTGAAAATACTATAGTCCCTTCCCCTCCCCGAGATTCCTGCCACCAGCGGTAAGTGGTAGATATAAATAGCTTGCCATTTGAACGTTCAAGGTCGTGCTCCTCGGTGGCTAAGTAGTTAACGCCTGGCAATCACGTCTAAGACGTCCGAAGTTCGATTCCGCGTGCGGAGTCTTTTTGTGAATTATTTTTCTTTCTTGTGTTTTCATATATATAGATACGTATACATATACGGTGAGTGACGGCGACGTCAACGCCGGCGGCGAAATCCAGCCGAGTGCCCATAAAATTGCTATCGCAATAAAATTTGCTTGCATCACCTATCAACCTACATGCTCGTCGCACACACAAAGCTTTCAACATCATGTTTTCTCGCTAGTGTTCATCGTAGGTAATAACCTTGATGTGATTGATTTGTGGGGTTTAACGTCCCAAAACCACCATATGATTATGAGAGACGCCGTAGTGGAGGGCTCCGGAAATTTCGACCACCTGGGGTTCTTTAACGTGCACCCAAATCTGAGCACA